ATCTGGGGGCCACGTTCATCTGACATGTACAAAGCCGAGTTGCTGTTTGCAGCCTACACAGTGCACCAGCACTCCCTCCCCTTCCACAGGAATACAGCACTGCGTACTATTTGTCGTTCATGATGGGCTTTGGTTCAATGAATAATAAGGACCAAAATAGTCAATATGGCACACAACACATCCACTTCATTGTCAAAAAAAGTCAAATATAGAGCCTGTTTATTGTGCATTCTGAGAGTGAGCTTGGATTACTCAGCAGTAGTCACTTATTAGAAGAATCCTTACATTCCATCTGTGTTGTCAGCGGCTACATAAATATGGTGGAAATCCACAGGACTCACCTGATTCTATGCTTTTTGAAGGAACTTAGCGGCATTGATAAGTTAAGACGCGTATAAGGATACAGTGACCTCGTATGTCAAAGTAACCCCATCCGATTTGGAGATCTGCCTAAGAGGCAGACTTGGTCCCGGTAGCGTAATCTCTGATGTCAGATCCATGGGGCGGAAGAGTTTCAGCAGTTCGCTGTCCCAATACACATACGAAAAGAAGCACCAACAGCAAGCGTGAACACTGATTTCCGTTCAGTTTAAGTGAGCCAAGATGAGCTCCATTGGTTATTACCGATGTACAGTCCTGGTGACAACCGAACTTGCTGTACAAAGAACTAACCCCAAAGGCTTGTGTACTGCTTAAAATCGTTGAAGTCTGGGCATAACGGCCAGAAATTAGGAACCATCCAACGCATTAGTTAGTCAAATCATTCTACGGCAACTCAACTTTAGAGTTGTTATATCTGCTGATCCGCCAATCTGAGGTGTTTGCTGCTGACCCTCTCCAGTGCCTAATGCCGAAAGAATACTCACAGAAGGGAACACAACAGCTATACTCAGAACAAGCGAGTGGAAAAATACAACGGTCTCAAGCTATTTATTGGAGGGACAGTCTGAACTTGGTCCAATGCTGACGCACATGGTCTGGCTTTGGTACGAGGCTGTTACGTGCTGGCTGTCTGGTCAACATCTAGCGGATCTGAGAGTCTCAGTAGATTTCGGGTATACAGTGGTTGCTTTCAGGAATTTGACCTTCCTGATAAAGGTCAATCCACATTTGCTAGCTTGATGATGCCTTTGGGCACGTGACATGAATTCGGTCAACTAATAAGATTGGTTGATGTGGATCGATAGGCAAAATTCCAACATCTGCTTCCAAATAAAGCTGTCAAGCTTCAGTCGCATAATATCGGCACCAGTATACAAGTTATCTGCAAATACAGAATAATTTTTCGAAACCCAAGCAAGTATAATCCTTCGTGATTAAGCAAAAAATGCCAGCAGTTCCATTCAAAATTTATTTTCTAATCTACAAAAGGTGGTACCAAGAAAGGGGGAGAATCTGCACGTGGTTTATGAGCAAACCGGATCACATTAGAACCAGCAGTCATGGGACAATTTAACCACAGAATTTTAAGTAGTATTCAAGTAGTATTTTTTTAAATCGCAGCGGAACAGTAAAAAATTCGACGCTTTGAGACTCAACCTGACTGTTTTCAAGGGCGTCTGAAAGTATTCCCGCACCTACGAAACTTGATAACCCGTTGTGATCTACTGGCAGTTGGTGAGGTACATTGCAATCTTTGGGAAGAACGCCTCCTGGTCACGAAAGCTATGGTCATTGAGAACAACTCCCAAAATGGCTTCTGTTAGTAGAACTGGCAGTGAACTGTTGAAGGGTTTTCAGAAACCTTGAGAGTTTCGTTGGATCGGGAAGACTACTTCGATTGTTGAATATTTTTCCAATAGAAACACGATACACCATTCGTGCAGCTCATCCAGTTTTCATAAAGGAAACTACTCACAAGGTTGCTGAAAACGTTTCGACATCATTGTGGGTAGTTTCCTTTATGAAAATATACTGCGATATCTCGAATGTCGTACCAACTGAAACATGAGGCAGCCTGTGTGCAGCACTTTCAGTTGTAGAATATCATAACCATCCAATTGCGTGTTACGATAAACGAACAATTTTGTGGACATTCAGTTGAGTTCACCATCACAACCAAGCCAATTTGAACATAAGTGTGTAACTTCGTTTACGTACAATTTGGTGTTAAAGTAGGCAATAAGGTTGGTGGAAACTCGAGGACTATGTCCAGCTGACAAGCCTAAAGGAGGAGAAACAAAATGCGACGTTTTTCGAAGAGTTTTCAGATACCTTATTAGAGTCAAACAAGGACCGATTTTGTTTACTACCATTTATCCGTAAAACTCGCTACGGAATCATGAATATATCTGATTAAATTAACTTCATTTTAACAATATCTGTAATTGCTAGAAGTCTCAAAACCATCTAATTGCAAATAATTTTGGCTACGTTTGCATTAGATCAAGATACATACAGTCACTGTATGACACATGGTTTTAGTGATACTGAGGACGAGATGGCCCAGTGGTTAGAGCGCGAATTTATTGAACAAAAGATCCGTGGCTCGAACCCAGCCTCTGCCTCTCGACTTCCCCTGTCTAGGCTTGGGCAACCTGACAGTAGCCCAGCCCTCGTGCAACCTTCGGGTGGCATGGCATTTAGGCACCGGAAGGGTGTTGCAGCTGAAAAATGTTCACTTCATTCTTTGAGTGGCTTGGAGTGCAACCATTATCCAATGAGCGGAACGGAGGAAGCGTGCCTAATTTCATCATATCCGTCGAGCGTATGACGAGATTTGGAAAGATCGAGAGTTCATCCCCCGAAAGAAGCTACTCCATGCCGAAAAACGCTACCACATTTATAGAAATCAAACTTGAAATCACATACAGTACACAGCGGCAACCAAGACTGATCGTAAGAGATGTAGTTTGTATCTTCCATCAGAGAACTATGACCTTGGGTCAAGTACACGATGTGTCACAACTTTTAACCTTCCATTCACAGATCAGTGGTTGGCTATCGATTTCTTCTGTGGCAGACCTAGTTACTTGCTCCTTTCGCTAGAAATTCGGCATCCGTTTAGTAGGAGCGTGTGAACTCTCCCTCACACATTCAGTCACTAACTGGTTCTACCCCTAACTCTCCTTTATATTATCATTTGTCAATTTAACCTTCCTTGATGACCTCATACTTGTTTAAAAATATCTACCTGAAAAATTGCAAAATAATTCCGAGAAAATCAGCGCATGGACAATGAGTTAGATTCCTCTAGTGGCTCGCTCAAACATAAGACCGACCGTCATTTATCATTATTGTTACTCGTTACACGGAGGTCACTACGTATACTGTGTTTGCCCACAGTCTTTCAGTTACTAAGCCAATCAGTTATATTCCACTTCTTTGAGCTCCTGCTAAAGGCTAGCCATTTTTAGTCAATCTCGCGATCTAAGGACGTCTTGTCTGGGAGACTGAATTTACACGAGTGTTGTTCTCAAACCTATCAGGCTCCTCGTGGATGACCTTCACTGCTCTCAAGCCATCAGCTATCATGAGGGCACTCGGTTCATTGCCTACACCATATTCATATTTGACATGCGCGCATCTGAAGTTAACATCAAGTTAGGGCTGTGGTAAATCATGAAAGATTCTAATCACAGGAACGCGACCGATCCTGCCGCATCTCATCGATAAGTCCTAGGCAGGCTGAAACGCGTAGAACACTGGTGAAAGAAAGCAGGTTCTCGCTGCGGAGTTATTTATTAGGAATGCCAACTGACCAGTTACAGACTATTGGACAGGGAAGCAAAACTCTCATTTGCATCCTATTTACAAAAAACTGGACATCCATCTTCTCTTGAACGTGTTTTCTTGAACTTGCCGGGACAGTCATTGACTCAAATCCAAGCAAATGCTACAAAGCGACTCCACAAATTCCGCAGTAGGTCCCACTTTTCAGGAGAGGCAAAGCGAATTTACAGGAAGACATACTACTCACATGCCTCCCCATCAGTAGTATCACCGTTACACTGGTACAGGAGACAAATCACATGCTTCTCTCTAAATGTGGCTAACTGCGAATAGTTCATGAAGTTGCTAGCTCTGCTACGTCGGGCGCTGCATGCGGGAATATTCCGCAGAGCCACAACTTCAATAAACGTTGTGTTCACATTTAACCTATCCGTAACCGTTAATTCTGTTGTAATTGTGCCTGTTACGAGTGTTATGTAGACTCATTAATCACATGGAACTGGTTTGCTGCTGGTCACATTTTGTGCGATTTCCTCCGATTCTACTCTTCAATCGAGTAAGCATCAGGGGATGGATTGGATACTCGCGAAAATCCAATGTGACTGATCTATCCCACCTAATTTCTAGGAAGTTTTACCCACACGTTAGCTCCATCACGTTAGCTCCAGATTGGCAAACCGCAGAGAGGTGCTACTTATATGGTCCCTTTGATTCCCCTACACGGACTAATCGGTTGGCAGCCCAGTCCGGGTAACTGGTGGAACAAATAAAGGAACACTATTTCGACAACCTGCATTCAATTTCCTCAAGGCCCCTCTAAATAGACTACTGGTCGCCAACATGGTAATCGCCATCATGGCGCCTACCTGATGAGCCCCAAGAAGGGGAAAACCGGTCGTGGGCTGTCGGCAAATTTTCAGCAACCTAATGAGCAGGGCATTACGACGGTTAGTATGTCTTTTCATGGCTGGCTGTTGCGCAAGATGGCTTGGCAATAACACCCGTTTTTCCATTCTTAGTACTATTGCATACAATCATCGCCAGACACTATCCAAAACCGTTTACACAAGCGTTTTGTTAGCCTCTAGAAAATTCAATGAGTTATGGATTATAAACACAAAAAAGTTGTTTCAATGGCAGATTTGAAAAAATTGCATAGGAAACTAATGTCAATAATGGGTCGTATAAATACACATGAGAAATGTGTTAGTATGTCATTCGCCTGTCTGGAAGATGTTACTGCTTTTGTCTTTGCTGCTTTCCGCCCCCACATCTGAAGGTAACAAACGCATTTCATAAGAAGACTTTCTCATATCTTTCTTAAACAGCAATCGCTTGTCTTCAGGACGTGGAGGGCGAAGGTTGGACCACGCTGGAAACTGACTGCAGATACTGCGAGGTAGGTATCTAGCTATGGTTGCCCGAACTAAAATTCCTAATTCTGTAATACATCTCTCCGTATTATTCCATTTGAAGCTTATAGATAATGGGCGCGTGGTGAAACGAAACTGTCTATATAAGAAGAGAAAAAAGAAGAAGTGTAAACACCACTTCCTTTGTAAAATCGATTTCTGTAACCAATGCTTCGGTGACGGTATGTTTGTCTGTGATTCAATGTCCGAATCATTCCAACGCTTGAAATGGAAACGTGACTGATATTTAATTCGTCTCGCATTACAGCCTACCGAAATCAGATACAATTCGGCTAGAAGTATGCGCAACGATGCGAATTTCACTTCTCGAAAATGTGCGGTGTAATTGGAGATTAAACGGTCAATAGAAAAACGTTTCAAAATACCGGCTTTTTGATTAAACACAATGTTTACGGTAACAGCTAATGGCAACCTGGCAGACACACCTATTCTCAATTCATCAGTTTTGGAATTTTCTTAAATATCCCCATGGTTTGTACAAGAACAACGACTGCCTTGGCTGTACGCCTATGCGCTGTGTGGAACCCGGTACCGTGTTGTCAAAAATGTTTCATACGAACGCTGAGTCTGCCTTGGTCATGTGACGCGAATCAACCGGCCAAATCACTCAAAGGGTATGCGAGCCAGCATTCTGAATGGTTAGTTGTGCACAAGTCAGGAAGCACGCGCGTTCAAACTGTATTTGTGCACAAGCCAAGAAAAAACGAACGCATTGGATGGTTGAGGCGCATAAACTAAGGAAAGATGAACTGCCAATACAAGCGAGAAAATAGCATAGTATCCACGAGCCTTAAAATGCCTTCCATCGATTTGCCTTTCTTCACAAAACCTAGTTGTGACTACCCACTTCACTGTCAGCGAAGCGGGGAGGGTCGAAAAGAGGCGCGTGACGTCGTCGGTCTTCGAACCACGAACCAGAAGGTGCACGTGCTCGGGCTTGTCCCACTTGGCCATCGAGCCACAACCGACCATTAGTGCAAACATCTGCTGACCAGCTAGGTCTCGTACGGAATGGTCGTATGTTATACTATGGACCACGTGACTCGGATCAGCCAATCATTTGCTTTAGTTTGGCTTGTGCATGAATCGACTACCCATTCCCCACTCAAAGGACTACTAGACGGTCTCACCCCATCTAACTTGATGCGACACGGGGGGTGGGGCGTAGATACCCGATCTTTCATGTCCCCACGTTTTGCATTTCACTAACCAATCTTCGCTGCGTATTTCATTTTTCGCTCCTATTTCAGCCATTAGATATATACTGACCGAATGACGAGATCCCCGAAAACTTTATTGTGCTGTTTAAAATTTTCCTCATTTCAAAGAAACACAATGTTGTCATTTATCTGTAGATTTTATACAACGCGAAGTTCGGTTGACACGAATAGTGTACTAGATATGAAATTTTTATACCGCAGGTTGTTCAACTCACGGGATCTCAAACTGTTTCGGAGGGCAAAGCATACATAGTTCAAATAGACCTGCAATAAAAGTA